GTACGCGTAATAGCTACGGACATGTGAGCTCGTCATTGATATCGCCTGTACGTACACAATACATACACATTCACAACAGATCTTGACACTTACACATAAGATGGTCTGATCCTACACGCTTTCAAAATGTATCGAAATGCTAGTCCTAGCACTAATAAAACTTTGAAAGCATATACTATAAATGCATGTATGCAATTCAGGCACGTGTTTTTGTTGGTTTGAAGTGTTAATTTTCTAAAATCGCAGTTGGCAGTTAAATGGCATTTGACATATATACAGAATGCAGTTCAATTAATCTGAGCGCCAACACAATATACCAATATACAGATGAGGCTGCTCAACTCTCAGACGGCTACTGTCTTGATCTTTGTGCTGATAATACTGTCAATAGTCTCAAATCTTTCTTCTGTGAGTTTTTGTGCTTACTTCAGCTTTTGTGGCTTCCAATTGAAATCACTACAGGACATAGGCAGGACTTTTGAATCGCACAAAATAGTGGAATTTGATTATTGGCACAAATGCATTATGGAAAGATTTGACGAAAGACGGAAGAACGAAAGTTCAGAAAGGGTATAATGAGCTCTAATTTATCAAAGTTATGAAATATCCATGTTATTGCAGCTATGGATGAGCTTCGCAAACATCACTCAGACTTGCGCAGATGAATCAAAAGTGTCAAGGATAAAGCTAACACCTATCGTAAATGCTGATGAGACCAAATACTATGTATTCAGCGATAATGTAAGCTTGAATTGTGGAAATAGGTCTAATTCAACCTTTTTTACAGCCTGGAGGTCGTAATCTAAATGTGATTGTCTCTATTGGGATTGGTGGGAATGTTGAAGCCGAGCTCGCGCTAAAAGAAAAGCTAACCGAGGTGAGTAAAGCGATCAGGTAAAGATTGTTCAGTGCTAACAATACGTTTCTTCAGGACAGCAAATTTTATGGAGCCGATCCCGTTTTTTCTAATGCAGAGCTTTTCCGTAAAGTTGGAACATTTATTCCACTTGCAGTCAGTACGAGGACGGGTTTTGTGCGGACTAAAATCCGCAACGATAAAGGTTGGCCTTACTTAGAACCGAAAATGTGACCTGCTAATGACTATTTTTGTGCAAGGAATCCTTCATTTCATCATGCTCATATAGGTACTTTAGCCAACCTAGAATCAAGCTATCATTAGCCTAACGTTGCCTATCGTCCACTTGACCAAGTGTCTAACTTGTGCGCTCCCTTTCTTGCCGTAAGCGCTTCGTTCGATGATTTGCTGAGTATTCACACCATAAAGAACTATGTACACCGCAAAAGCACCTTTTATTGCAAGGTTTATGATTAATCTCAATTCACAGTTTGGAACGGAGCAAGTACGTTGACGAGCAGATCTCACACTTCTTTGAAAAGGAGCTGCTCAACTTTGGAAAATTGGACAGATGCACGAATTTTGATGTTTAACGAATCCTGTCCCCAAAACGTTTCAATTGATCTCGCTATAAAATTATTATTCAGCTCAACGTTTGCTATTGATTCGTTTGACAATAGTGTTGGGCGCATATAGGGGAGGGGAGAGGGGCGGGTTAATTGGCACAAAGTCAGCAATTATAATCGTATTTTCTCGCATCTCGTCGAGCTGAGGTGCGATATCAGTCTCAGCGTGACGAGGGGACAACGCGACATTATCAGTATCTGCATCATTTTTAACAGCGAAGAAATTCTTAAGTTACTGAAAACCATACAATCATTTGCAAAACTATACAAGCGACAAATTTCAAAAAATTTACATACTGTTACAAAAGTAATGAATAGGAAATTGATTAGTTTCTTCTGTTACTTATTTGGTCATCAAAATAAGTAATTAAATATTCAAATTAAATTTTCAAGCGAATTTCTTCGACAGCTCCTAATAAAGTTAAATCATTGAACACGTGGAGAATTGATGAATTTTTCACGTATGCGTATTAAATTTGACGCTTTTGTTGGAGGCTGCATAAACCAATATTTTGAGATTTTGATGATCTGCGTCCTTTTTCATATCAGCAAATGTGACTATTTCCACTTTTTGTTAGTGATGTACTCAATTATTGAACTATTTGAGCTTATTCAGCTCTCTTAACATCGCTACGTCTTGAATGCTAATTTTAACACATTTCTCTTGTCATTTCTCCCCGATTTTGAATCTTAGAGAAGAATCTACTTTGAGACCACTTTTGCTCTAATTATTTCCTTCTGGTTGTTTTAAAGGCAGTGTCCCGGCAGAATTTGCATTTTGAGCTTCTCGCAGATTTTAGGCCTTCACGTCATGTAGAATTCGAATCCGAGCTTCAACGATGAAACGCTTATTATTATTATTGACGCTTTTACATCCAAAAAGGGAGCTCGGCCGAGAATTTACACATGGAAATTAGGGAGGCTTTGCCACGAAAATCTGCCACCTGTAATTTTTGCACAGATTGGCATGCACGGCGCAGGGCGGCCTTG